CAAAAATTGAATTCTTGGGGTACTTTGATATGCTGAATCTAAACATGTGTTTAGATTTTTGATTATGGGACCAGTTTTCAAGTTGGTCCAAGTTAGGGTCCAAAATTAAACTTTGTTTGATTTCAACAAAAATTGAATATATGGGGTTCTTTGATATGCTGAATCTAACCATGTATTTTGATTTTGGACATTGGACCATTATAGGTAAATTAAAAAAATTGAAGTTCTTGGACCACATTCTTTCTGTGTCAGAAACCTATGCTGTGTCAAATATTTAATCACAATCCAAATTCAGAGCTGTATCAAGCTTGAATGTTGTGTCCATACTTACCCCAACTGTTCAGGGTTCGACCTCTGCGGTCGTATCAAGCTGCGCCCAGCGAAGCATTTTATTTTTATAATGAATTGATCATCAAAAGGACGTTGTTGCTATTGTTGGCCAGGGACTTTCTATACTAATGAAAAAGTCCATGTGTGTGCTTGTCAGATAGAAATAGACAACGCTTATATTTAAGAATAAAAAAAGTGATGAAAAAGAAATATTACTATGCATTGGATGGATATTAAGACCATGGAAGTACTATATTGAATATAGTACTTCCATGCTACGATTAATCAGTTCAGTTCAGTTCAGTTTCTTGTATATTCCTCCATTAATTGTGGAGCATTACCCATAGGGTATAATTGTAGCAACTATATACACCTTAGAACATAAGGAAACATTTAATTATGTACAGATGACTGAATTTAGGCAATAATAATTACTAAATAATTAATATTATAACTAATTCATAGGATTGTCATCATAAAATTTTAAAAATAATATTCATAATGTGCTGAAGTGTAAGAATAAGTTAAGTAAGAACTGGATATATTTACAAATAAGAATTTAGAATTTAAGTGGTCTTAAATTAAACTTTCTTATAATTGTTAGTTAAAGGTGCTATACGTACATCAGAATTTATAATGAGAAGGTTATTTTATAAGACTTATGTAAAAGGGTTGGGGTTTAGAACGATTCATCATATATACATGTTTTCCTTCACAGTTTAAAGTTACCTTATTTCAGATCTTATCATTATTCTTTAAAGGTAACTGGATATTTTAAAACTTTGCAAAAAAATTTATTTAATTTAGGTCCTAATACGTCATAAAATAGTAAGATGGTAAAGTAGGGAACTATTTTATTTTCAAAAAGTTTACTTATACTGTACTTGTGTTCAAGTTTTTTTATCCTTTTTGTCCTCTGAGTATATGCATGGCTTGGGTGAAAGAAAAGCAATTGATCTATACTCATGCAAATAACCCTTTCAATTATGAATTCTTATAAACTGAACAAGTAATAGCTTTTCTAAAAAGCTAGCCGTCTCATAGCTGATGAAAGTGGAAAATGTTTTCTCTTTGTAGTTCAATTCGTTCAAAATTGTATGTAAATTGTAGTAGATAACAAAAATTATAAAAGGCTTATACCTTTTTTTAGATTTACCAATTTTTTTTGGGGGAAAGTATTAAAACTGGAAATTGGGGGTAATGTCTTTTTATCGATTATTTTTTTTCAAACAGATATCGGAGTTGTTCGTTGGCTTTTTCTTTGGTTGTTTGCTTGTTTATTTGTGTTAGAAAAGTATAACCGCTTCCACCTGAAAGTTTTTCGTTCATAATAGGCATCGAAAAGTGTAGAGAGCAGGCATGGGGTAATGCAAATTTGTAATTGTAATGCATGGTAATGCATTACATTTTTCCAAGTAATTGCATGTAATGTGTAATGCAGCAATTTGTGCATTACATGTAATTGTAATATAATGCATTACTTTAGCAAAAAGTTGTGTAATTTCATGCATTACATGGCATTACATGTCATTACTTTTTTCACATACTACATCTTTAACATATTGTTGGAGTTTTAACTAAACCAAATTTAAGATTTCTTGATTAATTAAGAATATGTTAATTTTAATTAAGGTGTATGTTTATTTTATAATTAGGGAAGTAATTCACAGTAATTAAATATTTCGTTTAAAATTTAAAGAAAAACAACAAAAAATATTTTTATAAAAGTAAAGTCAACATTAAGTTAAAATAATTAAAAATTGTAAAAGTCAAATTAAATAGACTTTTTACATGTATACTTATATTCAATTCATGGAACAGTTACTGCATATGCTATAATCTTTTGTGAAATGTAGTTGTTTTTCAAAATGTTTAATTTTTCTATTCACTAAAAATAAAATTTTCAAATGTAATGTGTAATTCAAGGCATTACTTTGCAAAAGTAATTGTAATATAATGCATTACTTTGATAAATGCATGTAATTGTAATTGTAATATAATGCATGGTTTGGTCAAAGTAATTGTAATATAATGCATTACATTGCAATGTAATTCGCCCCATGCTTGATAGAGAGTGAAACGTAGTAAAATTTAAACATATAAGAACACAATTAATATATTTCCAACGGTATCTCACATCTTTTCAAAAATGATCCTTAAAATGTAAAGCTTCACATATATGTATGGTTATTTTTGTTGTCGATGAAGATTTTGTCTATTCATTGTAGTTGGACTGCAATGTGGAATGCCCCACGCCTCTTTTTCTATATTTGAATAATGAGTATCCTTAACAATTAAATGTTTCTTTTTTCAGATTATTTGGTTTTATTGGACTTCTTGATTTTAATTTTTGATGAAAAATACTCAGAGTCGTGAGACGGGTAATTTGTTATATAAGACCTATTGTAAGCGCCTGAAAACAAAGTAGTTTCGCCGCCATTTTTTTTCAAATCATAATAGACGTCGTTGGTTATAAAGAAGGTGATAAGTTCTGCAAAGCTACTTTAAGTTCACTATGAGGCCATCAACATAAGAGAATCAACAAATTTGACCAAAACTTAATCAAGCATACAGCTTGATACTGTATCTTTTGTTATTGTTTTACTTGTACATATCTTCATATTTATTTACTATACCATTTAATGTTGGGTGACGAATAAGGCCCTTATCATACTTACCCTTAAAAGCTTGACATACTGGATTGACATAATCTTTTGTGGGAGACCGTTCGTATGTTGACATATAAATGTCTTTTTGTTTTATGATCATAGTATATGTATGTTTATACTTGTTTTTACAATTCTTGTAGAAAACATACAATTAAGAATAATCTTTTAAAGTGCCAACAGTATTTTCGTCTTTTAAATTTATAATTTTCTTTTCTTTCTCTTTCTCTCATTTAGCATGTCTAGTATAAATAGTCAATAAACCTCAAAACAAACATTAGAAGTTTGTTCCTGACCCTGCTCATAGTTCCAAGTAATATCTGAATTATTTTTTGCTATTAAGATTATTTTTTGTAGCAAAAAAAATGTTCCGGCGTGACATTTGTTCCGCTGGAACTTATTTCATAGGAAATATGTTCCACCGGAATTTATATCACAGAAAATTTTTACCCGGAATATATATTTTAAGAAAATATGTTCCAGCACTGTAAAATTTGTTCCGGAACTAATTTTTTTACTAAATGTTAAATAAGTTCCGGGTGTTATAGATTAACATGATGCATTAACTTTATATCAAGCAAAACATTCTATAGTTGTACCTGACAAGTTTAATAATCAACATTGAAGTCTTTAAACAACACGACAACGTTCAAAATAAGGTAAATCTTTGAGAAATTCAAATTAAGTCAGCATATATATTGTACGTAGATAATATGATTAAAAAACAAATGCACAACTATTATGAACAACTGCGATAAATATTTAAAACACACTATTTCATTTTTTGTCTCGCCTTGACGGAGTCAAAAAGCGAGACATAGGTATGCTGTTTCCGGCGTCGGCGGCGGCGGCGTCGTCAACAATGTATTAGTTTGTGATTAGGTCTAGTTTATGGCGAACCACAAGTGGTAGGTCAATCATATTTGGTATGCAGTTGTATTAGCATTGGCACATCTCATTTCCATGGAGATTATTTGGCCCTGTCCCCTCAGTCATGGTCTATTGACTTTGAAACTTTTGCTTACTTTACATGTATTAGTTTGTGATTAGGTCAGTTTATGGGGAACCACTAGTGGTAGGTCAATGATATTTGGTATGCAGTTGTATAAGCATTGGCATATCTTATTTCCATGGAGATTATTTGGCTCCCTTAGTCATGGTCTATTGACTTTGAGAATTTTGCTAAGTTAACATGTATTAGTTTGTGATTAGGTCAGTTCAAGGGGAACCATTTAGGGTAGGCAAATGTTAATTGGTATTCAGTTGTATAAGCATTAGCACATCTCATTACCATGGAGAATATTTGGCCCCGCCCCCTCAGTCATTGTCTATCGACTAAGAAACTTCTGCTTAGTTTACATGTATTAGTTTGTGATTAGATCAGTTTAAGATGAACTGCTAATGTTAAGTAAACGATATTTGGTATGCAAATTTATTGGCATTTGCAAATATCGTTTCCATGGATATTATATAGCCTCACCCCCTCTTCATGGTTCATTGACTTTGAAACTTTTACATAGTTTATAAGTTAATGTTTGTGTTTAGGTTTGTTTAAAGGGAACGACTTATAATAATTCAATGGTATTTGGTATGCAGTTGTATTAGCTTTGGCACATCTCATTTACATGGAAATTGTTTAGCCATGTACCTCAGTCATGGTTCATTGACTTTGAATATTTGCATAACTTATGAAACATGTTAAAGTATTGCTATTTTAATTTCAACATTTGCATAATCAAAATTACAAAAGGATGAGACATATTTCTGTGATAACAGTTTATCTACAAATTCTGATATGAAGTAACATATGTTGAATTGCAATATTCATAAATAAATGATTGATCTATAAAAAATTTCTGACGGATTTTTCTTATTCTTCGCTTATCTGCCTCATTAAATTATTGTCATTTGGATATTTTTGTATGCATAATGTAATTAAACATTTTGCTATACTCCACAGAATCCATATTGGATGTTTACACCTTTTATTTATTACATTATCAATATAATACATGTTTTTATAATGAACTTGAATTATAACTTTAAGCTCACTGATAACAATGCTCAGTATAAAAGATAACTTGTATAACCAGTGGAACATATTTCACAGACAAGGAACTTATTTCACCAGGTAAGGAACAAATCTCACAAACCTGGAACTTATTTCACTAGGTAAGGAACAAATTTCACAAACCCAGAACTTATTTCACCAGGTAAATTGTTGAACTTATTTTATAGAGATGGAACAAATCATATAGAAATTATCTGTGAAAAAAGTTCTCCCAGAATATATTTCCTGTGATATTTGTTCCACTGGAACTTTTTTCACAGGAACTAATTTTGGCTCACATATTCACAACTATTCTATATATTATAGTTAGACTTGGGAGGATAAAAAACTTTAAAATGTTGTAATGACATGTCCATTGAAGAAGACCGTAGATTGAACTTTAGAAGTAAATTGTCACGTTTTGTTTGTTGCTTAATTGGGTTGCTGTCTAAATTAATTATGTATACTTCACATCTCCTTTAAAATCATTCATAGAAATTAAACATTGCTTAAAATATGTTAGCATACATCGTCTGAGAGTAGTTTTTTGCTCTTCTTATATTCCCTTTTAGATATATTTTTAGTTTTCTGTTCTTCAACCTCTGCTATATCTTGCTAGGAAGAGCTAGCTAGGTAGATCTAGACAACATCCAACTCAGCCAAACGATCTTGGGGTGTGTGTGGGGGCACTTATTATGTAATGAGTGGAATGGATGAGTCGCTGGGATAGGTCACTGTTTGAAGCTTCATGAAATTGCATGAGGTCGAGAAATTTAGGTGAAATATAAGACAAGGTTGATGATTGAATCTGAAACTAATCAGATGTCGATATTTTTTTACAGATGCAATTAAAATCACCAGAGATTGTGTATATATGTCTCTAAAATCACTTTCGTAAATGTTTAAGATATTTGTCAAATCTATTTACTAGTATCTCCCCATGAAATAACGTAACAATGATAGCTATGTCACGGCAGGTATATATACGTATTGTAAAAAATATATGATAGCTAGGGTAACTGCATGTATGTTCTTTTATCATTCAATATATATAGTCAAATGCGTTTTGTTAAAATATACTTTTTCACTCATTTGGTCTTTTGGAAAATGTTGTTTGTGCTGTATTTAGACCCCTCTACCAAGAAATTTGTTTTGCAATCATGGGTTTGAACGTTGTTTTCAATTTAGACTTGTTTATATTTTTTCGTTTGGGCTTGTATTATATTTGCCTTCGGACTTATATGATCCGTTCATCCTATTTTGACTCTTTCAAAATTCAAGAGTCTATCCTAAATTGAGGTAAATTATATGGCCTTCCAAATACCGTTTCGATTCCTAACATCACTGAAGAGACATTAATTGTCGAAATCCGGATATGGTGTACAAATGTTTGCACCTCATGTTTGCGGTATACCATCTTTTCCGCAAGTTTATTGTTTTCTGTTTGGTAATAAATTAATGATAAGATCTAATTGTTACATCTTGTGATCAGTTTATTTGTCAATCGCCAATGGCAGTCAGCAGGGTTTAAGAACATCAGTTGTTCGACCTGCTAGTCAAATGCGTTTTGTTAAAATATACTTTTTCACTCATTTGGTCTTTTGGAAAATGTTGTTTGTGCTGTATTTAGACCCCTCTACCAAGAAATTTGTTTTGCATGCACACGTATAAAAATTGCGGTTTTTATCCAACGCAATCATAGGTTTGAACGTTGTTTTCAATTTAGACTTGTTCATATATATATATATATATATAAAGGGTGGGGTATTGGATGTCTCAGCTGCTCACCTCTGCCATAGAAAGGTCGAAGTGCCGCCGCCGCCGCCCCCGCCCCCTGAGATAAAAATTCTTGTGTAAATTAATATTAATCGAACAGAAATTATTTGATATCTCCGTTTTAAAATGTTTGTGTTGCCTTTAGATTATCTTACTGAGTAGGGGGCCTCGGTGGCCGAGTGGTCTAAGTAGTTACTACTGTAATCACTAGCCAGTCAACACTGAGGTTGTGAGTTCGAACCCCGCTCGTGCGGGTGCACTCGACTCCAATCTTAATTGACTAGGATTGTCAGTTTTCCTATCGAAGGTCGGTGGTTTTCTCCCGGCGCTCCGGCTTCCTCCACCAATAAAAACTGGCCGCCACGAAATAGCCCAAAAGCGGTGCTTCAAAGTGGCGTTAAAACACCAAAAATCAAATCAAATCAAATCTTACTGAGTATAAATAAATATAACCTAAGAAAAAGGCATTTTCCTAAAAGTTTTCTTATGTTTTCACGTATAAAATGTACGTAACATGAAATAATCACGTGTGTGTTTACAAATCTTCAGGAGATTTGGCTATTTATAGATAAGTGTTACCTGTGTACCGATATGCATGATTGGTAACCAGGCAAATCTACTAAAATAAAGAGTTCAGATCCGACACTCTACGGGATTAAAAGACATTTACTAGGTTTGAATTGTCCCAACCAATGAACGAAATTTAATTATGACAGCGTAAGTAATATCTTCCAATTAGGTAGTAAGAAAGCCTTCAGCCCGCAGACTGTCCATCGTTCAACTCTTAATACCGTCTCCGAGGAGACGGTAATAAAAAGTAATCAAACAGAACTCAAACTATAGGAGATGTGGAATAAACTTCAATTTGACAGCAACCAAACGACAAAAACGCCATAGGTAAATCAGATATGTCTTTGAGTAAAAGCCAATTTCTATTGTTTCACTGTTTTTATTTCAACTAGCGCAATTAAACAATCACTTTTTCCAAATATATTTTTTCTAACAAAGCATCAAAGAAAAGATCAACAGCCCTTTTATCATTACTACTTAGCAACAAGGAAACATAATTTACCAGTTAAAGATTGGTTGGATCAATTTTCAAGGTGATCAGACATTACACAAGAAGAGCGCGTGCCCCGTAAAAATGTTAACTTGTATTTGTAGTATTTGTATTTTTATCCATCTGATGAGTTAAGCCTCTTTCAACTGATTTTTATAGTTCGTTCTTATGTTGTACTGTTACACCACTGTCCCAGGTTAGGGGGAGGGTTTTAGGGGGAGGGTTGGGATCCCGCTAACATGTTTAACTCCACATTCTTTATGTATGTGCCTGTCCCAAGTCAGGAGCCTGTAATTCAGTGGTTGTTGTTTGTTTATGTGTTACATATTTGTTTTTTGTTCATTTTTTGTACATAAATTAGGCCGTTAGTTTTCTCGTTTGAATTGTTTTACATTGTCATTTCGGGGCCTTTTATAGCTGACTGTGCGGTATGGACTTTGCTCATTGTTGAAGGCCGTACGGTGACCTATAGTTGTTAATTTCTGTGTCATTTGGTCTCTTGTGGAGAGTTGTATCATTGGCAATCATACCACATCTTCTTTTTTATGATAACTTTTAAATCTCTTAAGATTTTCGAACCAACTTTGAACATATTTTTTTACATTATAATAATCAATCTTAATTTACGATCTTGGTGCATATTTAACCTTTCCATTCATATCCTTAGTTCAGACGACATAGTACTATTGGCAGAAAGTGCTGATGATTTACAGAAACAGCTGGATTCTTTCAGTGAATACTGTAATATTTGGAAGCTTAAAGTTAACTAAAGTGATGATTTTTTCTAGAGGCAGAATGCCGTCAAATTTACATTTTTATATAGCTATAGACGGCACTGACATTGAAAATATTAAAAGAATTTAACTATTTGGGCATATTATTATCTAGAACTGGTAATACTAAAATAGCACAGAAACACCTAGCAGAAAAAGCCACACAAGCTATGTTTAAGGTGTTGAAATCAGGCCGCATACATAATCTTTCCACTCAGTGTCACTTAGATCTTTTCTATAAAGTTGTGAAACCCATACTTTTGTATGGATGTGAAATTTGGGGGCATGGTGATGTTGAAATTATAGAAAGAATCCATCAGAAATTCTGTAAACTTCTTTTGAAACTGAAAATTCCACACCTAGCTATATGGTATACGGAGAACTTGGTAGATATCCTTTAAATTAAAAATAGTATCTTATTGGTGTAAATTAGTATCTGCTAAAGAGACTAAGTTATCTTCTATCGCATATACACTTATAAAAAAATCTATTTACTGTTAATAATGTATGTACATTTTTTGTGAGTGAAGTTAAAAATATATTGGATGAATGTGGTTTTTCAAATATTTGGATTTCTCAATGTTTTGGTAATGATATATGATTAAAAAATGCACTAAAGTTGCGATTACAAGACCAATACAAACAGTTGTGGAATACACAATTTCAAGAGTCTACATAATCAGTAGATTATAGAATTTTTAAGTTAGAATTAAATTTTGAAAAAAAATATTTTGATATGTTGGATATGCACGAAAGTATTATTTTGTGTAGATATAGAACCACAAACTACAGACTCTCAATAGAGACAGGGAGGTGGAATAATGTTAATAGAAATGATAGAAAATGTCATCTTTGTAATATTGGTAGCATTGGAGACGAATTTCATTATCTGCTAGAATGTCCATTTTTTAACGACAGTAGAAAATTATACCTTGATAAGTACTATTTGGCTTATGTTAATACACTAAAGTTTAGAAAATTGATGAGCAAATTAAACAAAAATTCAGAGCTAAAAAGATTATGTAAGTTTACAAAGTGTATAAATAAACATGTGGGTCCTCCTAGCTAAAATGTATATTATTTGGAAACCACTGTATTGTATATATGTTTTGTAAATAGATGCATATTCATGTACATATTTTGCACTCTCTCTGTACCTATGTATCTGCAATGGTTATGGGAATAAAGATATTGGTATTGGTTTATATGAACTCGTCAAGCTTCGGTGGATTCAATCAACACTATGATAACTGGACACATTATACAAAAGTCGGCGCGTGCCATGTAAAATGTTTATAACTCTTTCATTTCTAAATACATTTACACCAAAATTTAAATATATGCTCTTTATTTACAACATTATCATACTGAATGACCTTGGTACTTATATGACTATTCCATCATGGGCTTAGTGCAGTTTTCAGAGCTTAGTGCACCAAGGCGGCCTAGGTGGTGTTTAGACGTACCGGGTA